TGTGTGTATAACTTTTCAAAGCAGTGTTTGCTAGTCATGTACTGGCTAGTGTTATGAGTTATGCTTAAAACTGGGTAAAATTGTCATTACCAAAACATTTGGCAAAGTTTTGGTAGTGGTATAATTGTTTTGTTAGTGACAGAATGTGTAGTCATCTATTGTAATGGAAATAAACATAATAAAGGTACAAGGTCACTCAGAGCAAAAGGATTTTAGTCTAAAGTCCAAGTTAGAAATCCGTACTATGTTTTGAACTCTGATCTTGTGATGTCACCATGAACACATTTACATATGACCATCCATTCTGCTTTAAGCAGTTGGTCATTCACATTGACGTGATAAGGAGTGTTGTTACTGCAGACGCACTATAGAGTTATTTTAGGTAGAAGCTGTTGAGAAAACGATTAAAGAGTAATTACACCCTTTTTTCATTGACAGCTGAAATGCACTGCTCTGTAATAATAATATACACCAGCCTTGCTTAAAATGTGTAATGATGTGTGTCTTTCCAAACTGGAAAAATATTACTTTCAATTGTGGTCAGTTCCGCCTCTGCAGCGCCCCTCTGGTTCAACTCTGCTATTGGCACACATAGGAGCCTAGAGAAGGAGATAACCACACTCACACACTGAGCTAAATACCCCCAGCACCACCTCACAAGGCTGTGAGATGCCAGCTGTCTGTACCTAACTGTAAATAACTCAATTAATCTAAGCTTAGTTTGTAAAAAGATGTTGGACTGATTAAGTGAGGATTTTGTGAGTCTCCATAAAGCTGCTGGTGTTGTAACCAATTCACGTTACCCTCCACAACTCAAAATATCGGGCGCGACTCACTGAACAGACATCAACAGCAAGCAACAGTGGAACTATGGAAAGCGAAACGGTTCAGGAAAGGTTAACGTTAAATGGCCATTGTTACTGACTGTGTCAACCTTTCGTCTGTACAGCCTTTCTGGGACTTTTTTCCTGCTTTCCGTAGTTCCAGTGTTACTTGCCGTTGATTTCTGTTCAGTGAGTGTGCATGCCCGAGCTATCGGTTTATAAAGGGGAACCTGAATTTAAGGGGGACCTGAATCGGATGTAACACCGGTAAGTGCCATGAACCACTTGCAGAACGTAAGGATTTAGGGTCACTGCAGCAAACCCTGGCTGACCGGTAATGCAGTCTGCGACCTTGATGTCAAACTGAATGAAACTTAGACAGTTACTTAGCTAGCTGTTGCGGGTTTAGGGACTGTTCTACCGTTGGGACGCCTCTCCCACTTGCTGCTAGCTAATCATTTTCCGGCACAACATTAGCTCTTCGATGGCTTGAGTCAGTGGCTCATACTGTTAAGGCTTAAGATGCACTGCCTGATCAGAAACACCTTCTCCCATCCAAGATGGGGATGGTAGTAGAGAAAAATCGCCAACCTCGTAAGACCTCTCAGTTGTAAAAGTGCCGTTTGATTCTGTCTCTCTCCATATTTTCTGGTAGCTAATGTACACTAGCTCTAAAACACAGCAGCCCAGCCCACCTCCAAACCCGTACATCACTGCAGTTCCCCCCCTAGTGTGCCCCTCTCATTTTTGAGCAAGTCGAGCCAGGGTTGGAGTTAACTGAAAATAGTGGGTGTAGTTACTCTTTAAATGTTGTGCTGTTCCTGGCTCTCGGGATGCAAATGTAGCACTGCAGCATTCCACAAGATAGACACGCCCGAAAGGAGTGGCGCTCTGTGCCACATTTCAGCCCAGACCACTTTTTGAATGAAGCTCAATAGAAGGCAGCCAATCAGAACATTATTTACTTATTTGTGTCTTGAAAAACATAGTAAAAAACAGCCTAAGTAATTCTAAGGAATAAAGAGAGGTTAGAAAATGGATTCATTTTTGCATGAATTTTTGCTTTTTTCAGATAAAACCACACAATCAACCATAAAAGTGGAGCTCAGGCTAAAAAAAGACAAGTAAAATATAAGACAAATGCAAAATAAAGGCTTTAAACATGAACTTTTCATTATACAGCAAGGTATCAGTCTTTGGGGTTAATCAAGGATTGAATGCGTACCATTCCACAGTGATGAAAAAGTCTTCCTTCCTGTTCATCTGTCATTTCTGAGCTTTTCCATATGTCCTTCACAGCCTACACATGATGATTTGTGACTGACAATGGCTTGGCAACAACCGAGTTATCGCTAAACATATTCAGAGCATCATTCCCAGGCGGATTGGACAGGTCAAACTCTTTCTGCAGTCTCAATCATTGCGTCAGTAACAAATAATGTTAATATTTCATGATGTCCTTCTTGCCCTCAGAAGGCCTCTTTGAAACCATTCTTCAGATTGTTATAAAAGGTTCCTGCTGGAAACTGTTACTGAAAAGATTGCTTAATGGGTGTATGGTTTTAGGAAAAACTTTTAATTGGTATAGAATCACTATTTTGTGGAGATTCTTTAAAGTTGAAAAAGGTTCTTCCCCCTCTGACATCTCATTTACAAAAATGGTTCTTTAAAGAACGCTCAACTGAAAAGTTTCTTAAGGAAGGTGGTTTTATTTTAAGAGTGTAATGCTATATTATCAAATCAAATCAAATCAAATTTATTTGTATAGCGCTTTTTACAACTGATGTTGTCACAAAGCAGCTTCACAGAAATCCGTTTAGAACAAAGTTTCGACATGAACTGTAAATCCTCCAGGTGAGCAAGCCAGGGGCGACAGTGGCAAGGAAAAACTCCCTCAGAGCTGAGGAAGAAACCTTGGGAGGAACCAAGGCTTACATGGGGGGACCCATCCTCCTCTGGTCAAACTACGTACAAAATTATTATTCTACTAATATTAATAGTAGTAGTAGTAGTAGTAGTTAGGAGGTAGTAATAGTTAGGAGACTTCAGTGTAGAGTGGGCAGCCAGTCCAAGGCAGGTGGCGGTGACTGGGTTGTGGGTAACTGGTCTGAAGCGGGTAGCCGGAGAGCTCTACAAACAATCATCCAGCAGTGTCCGGCCGGACAGGTGGGCAGTCGTTTTCTCGGAAGAAAGGTAGGGAAATGGAGTTAGTTTAGTTCTGTATAGGTGTATGTATAGTAGTATGTAAAACATTTCCAGAGTGTGGCTAATGACGCCGGCAGATCTGACTATTATAATCAGTACCACCTTTATTAGAGAAATACAAATTTACTATTATATTCTTTTTAAACAATTTACATTGCTAACAGAGTTTGGAATAAACCGCTTCATGTGTAAATATATATTTTGGCATAGTAAACTTGAAACTCTGAAATGTTGGTGCTAAGACATCACATATATTAACTTGTGTTGCGTATATAGTTGGGAAGTTTTTTCCACTTCATATTTGGCAGTAAGACGTCACATACAGATCAGAGTCACTTTCTTTTGCCAAGTATGTTACACATACAAGGAATTTGTCTTGGTGAGTGAACACATGTATAACATGTAATGATGATGTGGTGGTGTGTTAGTGTGTGTTGCACTGATACTAGTTTGAAATCTTGATCTATTTACTCATAAAGACACATTTATTATGCTAATATCTACTAAATCATTGCTAATATGCTATTTTCTGCAATGAAAATGGATTATCATACAAGTTCAGAATTACCTACAATACAAGAGCATTCCTTTAGAACATATGTGGTTACTGTATGTAGCATAAATATTTTGACCTTTTAATACATAACTTTAGAATAAGATGTAAATGCTTCTACTAAATTAGTGTGACAGATAACAACATGCATAAATGCCATAAGTGACTTTTATTGCGTTCCGTGAATCAAAACAGTGTGTTAGTCTAAAGACAGCTTAAAATAAATAAGCCCGGTCACATGACATGTTTTGTAGATTTTCTAAGTGATACAATTCAGTGCACAACTTCTAATTATTTGCCGAGTTTAACATAAAAACATCCAATATACAGTATGCCATAACTTTTGCACAGGCCACAGTTTTTGTTTTATTGCTCCCCCTAATTTGTTAAAGCTCCTTTCTGCTGATTTTCATGACTTTATTCTATTATCTATAGTTTTTTATGTTTTTACTATGAATTGACAGAGAAGGAATGCTGCTGGTTTTTAATTGGGTGAGACTAAATTTGGCATAGATCTGCCAAAGTACCAATCAAAGTGAATTCCTCTCCATCACATTAAGCGACTGATCTCCCACTGCTCCGATTCCCAGACAAAACTCCCAACTAGTACGTTATTTAAGCTTTTCTAAATGTGTTAAAGGTGCTTGTTATGAAGGTATATTACAGGTTTTTTTGTAACAAAGCTAGACGCAGCTTTCTACTTGCATTAGCCACCTGTTGCAGGATTGTAGTATAAGTAATTAACTTAATTCACGAGAGTGCGATAGCTAGCGGTCCACCTTAGCTACAGGAATAAAACGACATGTTAGCTTAGTGTCAACATCAAGGCTCATAACGTATCCCCGCCAGGCGTGGCGCACAATTAGGATCACAAGAAATTTCTCCACAGTGTCTGCAAATGTAACTGTGCCAACACATAATGGGAGCTCGTGTGAAGCCTGGTCCAGTTAGCTAGCTAGCTAGTTACGGATATAATGTTAGTACTGAGCATCAAATATTGGACGCACTATGTCCGTGATCTACAAGTCAGCCTCCAACATTAGCTGCAAAGTTAGATCTCTAAAATGAACTGGGTATTAAACAGCTTGTTCTCCATGTTGCACTTTTTACACACCAGAGCAGTCGAGAAGAGTAAAGTGGTCTGTTTTCCTGCAGGGCACTCTCGACATTCAAAATCAAGCGTGTAGGGCTGAACGTGCACGGATCCTGCTGCGTGTGCCATCTTTGGCATTGTTAATGGTGTCACACATTGCCACCGGCAATGGGATTGTTTGGGCTGCCAGAGAGACGCCACTGTCAATCTTTATGCATTCTGACACGCCCACACAATTCTGTGCAGGATTTTTAGAGCGTGCATATACTATTTATTTGTATTCATTTAAATATGTTTCTGCGGAATATAAAAGTTTGAACCCATGTTGACAGGGGCCAAATTACCAGTCATTGTGCATTAAAATGTGCAGAAGTATGTTTTCTGTAGAGGATGTGTTAACTTCTTTTCACTGAGAAAATCAACAAAACATGTTCAACTTTTGACTGTAACAAAAAGTTATCCTTATTTTTGTATGACTAAGAGTGGTCAATATTTTGGGCAAACTGTTGGGAAAATCCCTGTGAGGAGATGGCCACTGCAGGCCTATAATGAGGCCGGTGGTGGTTGTGGCCGGGGATGCCCGCCCTGAATGTGGAGCCATGAATAAGAGGGGCTTTGGCAGGCTGGAGACTTCAGGCTTTTTAGCTGTCACAGGACGTCAGAGCTTTAAGTGGTGAATAGCTTCTGACTCAGCTGAAATGGCCTGTGCATGAGAAATTGGAAGGATGCAGAGAGAGAAAGAGAGAGAGAGAGAGAGTGAGAGAGAGAGAGAGAGACTAAGAGAAGAGTCTGTGTGAGGGATGTACAAATGAAATAAGAGCATGATATTAAAATGCATTAGCTAAATGCTAACAAAGCAGTTTCTTCTTTGCTTTGTTTTCTCCCTTTACATTTTCATGCCAATCATCAATGTCAATCAAGAGAGAGAAAGAGTTTGTATTTACTAAATGCTAACAATTCGCTAGTTGCTAAATGCTTCTCTTTTTTTACTCCCTTTCCATCATCAAGCTAGTCGTCGATCTCCTTGTTTGGAATGCCTTTGGACATTCATTCTCTCTCTCTCTCTCTTTCTCTCTCTCTCTCTCTCTCTCTCTCTCTCTCTCTCTCTCTCGTCTTTAGCATGCTAGTCAGGTCCTCTGCTCTTAGCTATAGCCCTGTGTTTTTTCTCCAGCCAAGCGGCCCTCTTGTGTTCAGGGATCAGGCTCAGGATCACTCGGGGGTCTCTGGGCACTGGCCCTTTTGTCCATCGTTACTTCTTTTCTCTCCCCTGCTCTGTGCTATTTCCTAATCTGAGTCTTTGCATAAAGAGAACGTCCACAGTCCACATAGCTCTAGGGCTTTTCACTGCCTCTCCTTCCTTTCAGTTATCCATCCGTTGCTATACTGGTTTTGACACGTCTCTCTATATCAATCTCAGAGTATCTCTTGGTCTCAAACTGAAACCTGTCTCTGCTTAAAAGAATTGAATGGTGAAAAATCTAATTTACACCATTTTACGCTTATCTCAAAGGTAGTCCGTCAGCCAAGACACGTTTGGTGTCTGAGGTGTGCTTCTTCAGTTTCGCACTGGAGCTGCAAAGCTAACGTAGATAAAAAATGATAGAAGCTAATGTGAACCATTTAGCATTGCTTACATAGCCAAATCGTCATATAAACCCATGACGTTTCAAGTAATCTCAAGTGAACTTGCTGATGTGGTTTCTGACACTGAATGACATACTGTTTTCTATGAAAATGGACACAGTTCAGACTTGAAGATGTCTGCTTCTGTTTTTATCTATGTGATACTTTTCGGTATTTTCACAGAGTATGTTATACAGCATCAGAAACCACATAAGAAGCTGTAGTTGACATTACTTAATAACTAGATATGGGTAGAGGCCAAAGCATGATGATTTAGCCCTGTAGTTTTGGAGATGCTAAATGGTAAACAATAGCTTCTCCTATTTGTTAGCTGTATAACCTGCATAGCTCCAGTGCCAGCAAGCTTCAGACACTAAATATAATCTTGCTGATCGACTACATTTAGGGTAAAGGTCGAATATATTTGATATTATTCACAGAAATGTTCCTCTGAAAAGCTTAAATTTACAGGTACTCAATGCTTTTCCTTATGACCACAGTGACAGTAATTCTACAGATGACTGAAATTACCCCAGCCCCTCTCCTTTTTCTGTCTGTCTTTCTGTATCCACTCTATCATGCTCTGTCTCTCTCTTTTTGTCTTCGTGGCGTCTGCATGTGGCTGTCCCTGACCCAGTTGGCCCTCTCTGCTGCTGCCTTCCTTCCTGTGTAGCAAAGCCCCAGTGCAGGATGGGAGATAAAACATTATCGTGTGTCCCACCACACCAGGCCACGGGCCGATAGGAGGGGCTCCATTTAAACTCACGTATGAGCGACAGTTTAAATGCCCTCTCTGACACGTGCTATTGTCTGCCATGCTTCATGCACAGCAAACTGGATATACACTGCCTGTCAAAAGTTTGAGAAACACCTAACACCTTTTTAAAATGTTTTTAAAAAGCGATGTTTTCTTTGTCAGTTTGCAGTAACTTTCAGTATAATTCAGTATAACTTGTCTAGGCATTGTAATTTTTCTTGGCAAGAAATGGAAAATTTGAAGAAACAGTGGGACAAAACTTAAAAAAATTAACTATAAAAAATTATTTAGGCAAAGCATACCTTCATAGAAAGCAGTGAAGGACCTCGTGGGCCTCCTAGCCCTTTGCAAAAGGCCTAATGATTTCTGGGAACAAAAAAAAATGCATCTGTGTAATTCTGCTTGTTGTATTTAAGATCTTTAATCATTGTAGTAATACTCTTATCGTTAACTTTATCGTTAACCTTAACTTTTCATTGTTAATTTTTGGTTGGAAACAAAAGGCAAAAGATCTTGAAATGCTCAAAAAATTTCAGATCAGGTTGTTTTGTTTTGCCATGGTATCTGGGGAAGAAGTGAGCCAAGTTTAGCTCTCCCATTGGTCACTTCAGGAGCTGGACAGAAGGCCCAGTTAATCAGATTAACCACCGAAATAATTACGAAGTGACAGTGGAATCAAGCTATCACATTTTAGTGACAAGGTGACCAAGTTCATGGGAAAAAAAATTTCATTCTAGGCCCTCTGGAAGTCCTACACACATCTGAGAATACAAGCTGTAGTCCAGGTTTCAGTCAGTTGTTACAAATGGAAAAAAGCAGCCGCAGCTCTTTACCAGAGCTCTTAACTGAACGAGTCACTGTACAGCTGCTGTATTCAAAGTAAAATATATGTTCATATCTAAAATGTTCCAAAAATGCACCAGTTTAGCTTAGCTTAGTATTAATTTATTATTAAAAATCCCATAGGGGAGCCAGCAAACAGGCAGTGTATGAATGGAATATGGATGAAATATAAATGTTATTATTCATGTGCTCTTGCATGTTATTTTTTCAGAGTGCACAGGAAAAGGGGGTTTATATGCTTTTCTGTAGAAGCAGAGCAAAGTCATGTATGATCGTATGGATGCAGATTCATAATTAGGCTTGCATATAGACTTTAATCTTCAACACTGTTTGTGTGGCTCACACGTGGATAGACTTGAGAAGTGGAAACAGCTGTCTGGACGATGGACAGGCTTCATTCACTCCATATGGAAGAATTTGTCAACTAGCCAGGCCTTTAAAGCATTTTTGATTTTGGTTTATCAAAATGTAGAAATTTGCTCTTGCTTGATAGAGTTAGGAACAAGAACACAAATAACCTATGATGTACTTCCACTGACTGGCCACTTCATGTGGTCCATCTTCATTATAGGCCCACTGTATACAGTACAGTGCAAAAGTCAGAGGCTATAGAACCTATAGAACTAGTGCAAATTTTCTTTTTTCTTTTCTCAGCAACATGTTAATACATTTCTATCAGTTTTCTGCATGATTAAGAGAAGGATTCTTTCATTTATTTAATCTCCATTCAAAACAGCCAATAAGTGTAAGTTATTCTAAAAGTTATTCTTTTCTCAGTGTCAAAAAAAGCAGAAAACATATTTAATAGAAACAGAGAAACCTCAACAACTAAATATATATTTGCATTTATTACAGCATCCATTCTTTTTAGGAGACATGCTTTTAGTTTTTCTAAATCTGCAGGAGTATTTTTCTGCACCTCCAGTTCAGTCTTAGAAGTTAGTTGCATTTTCTGGTACTCACAATAAAGTAATTCCAGCTGTAAATTTAGACTTGCCAGTTCATAGAACTTCACTGAGCACCAGTGTTATTGTGAGTAACATTTTAATACATCAGTTGTTTTCTGCAAGATTCAGAGAAGGATTCTGTGTCTTTAATGATGAATTAGGCTATTCTGTTTTCATCCCAGATATATTGGATTGAATTTCAGATGACTTTGTCTTATCTTTGTCCCAGCTGGAAATTGCTCATGCATTGTGTCCAAAAAAGCAATGAATAGGAGAATATATGATCTTAAACGTGTTTCCTGAAGGTCTAGAGCCAGGCCAACAAGGCCAGCTTGTGCATTCTTCTGGAAGCTTCTACAGTGGAGCCGACTGGGGTGCAGACTATTGCTTAAACTGAGACATTCCAGCCCCAGACCAAAGTTATCTATGCCTATAGATGGGGATTAGCCCATAGAACCTCAATTCCTGTTTAAAGGCAAGCCGTCTGCCTCACTGTACCTTTGCTCCATCCTGTTTCTGATTGCTTTCAGTAGGCCTAATTGATAAGAATGTGCAGACTGTCGCTCAGTGTGAAGATTAGCCCACTCTTTGGCAGCATCAAGGGACTGTCTGCTGACAAGGCTTTGTACTTTACAACTGGGCTTACCAGGTTTTTTTAAAATGAGCATGTTTTCTTTGTCTGTTTGTAATAACATATTAATTACTAACCAAGGGTTGGATTCTCAAAAAACGTACAACAGTCATAACCCATTTGGACTGTCGTTTCTTAAGATCCTCCAGCGAGTCTCAGAACGTTTCAGATGCCATATTGTCACATCATAAGTGATAATAAGGCGTAATTGTAGTCATGTAAAACACTGTAACAGTGTTTAGGTAGGTGGCACGTGTCAACCTGACATCCACATGAATTTTCGGACCCAGAGTTTCCCTACAGGGCGTTGCCCGTAGCATGACACTCCCTCTACTGGCTTGGCTTCTTCTCAGATGCTATCACTTCCCCAGGTAAACAGTGCACACGTACCCATCCACATGATGTAAAAGAACAGGCCGGTTCCTTTCCAGTTCCGACACTCACATGCCCGTTGTAAGCTCTTTCGGCAGTGAACTGGGGTTAGCATTGGCACTCTCGGTGGTCTGCGGCCATGCAGCCCCATTTGCAGCTGGATGCGATGATTTGTGTTGTGGCACATTCCTCCTATAACCATCATTAAATATTTCTGTGGCACAGTAGCCTTTCAGTTGGTCCAGACCAAATGGGAGAGGCCTCATTGCCCTCACACAATGATAAGACTTGGGAGCCCAAAACCCTGTTGCTGGTTCGTGGTTTGCCCCTTCCCTGACCTTTGTCAGTAGGTACCTGACCAGAAGCACCTTACAAGCTTTGTAATTTTGGTGATACTCTGATATAGTCGTCTGGCCATAACAATTTGGCCCTTGTCACAGTCACTCAGGTCTTCACGCCTGCCCATTTACTACGAGACAATTAGACTATGAGAACCAACTGTTTACTTACTGTCTAATATATCCCAGACCTTGACATGCACCGCTGTTACAAGATAATCAGTGTTATTCACTTCATCTGTGAGTGGCCACAATGGTTTTGGCTCATCAGTGTAAGTTGTAGCAAATAGCTGTTTTTTATTAACAATACATTTGCTGGTATTTTTTTTCCTAGTCGTCTAAAACCAGTTTTGCACTGACTATTAGAGCTAGGTTTTCGGTTCAGGCCAGAAATGTCTAAACTCCACACTTCTGTGATCATTCTAAAGGCCTTAAATCTGGCTCCGAGGGTTCCCCTCGGTAGTTTTATTGTACAATAGTCAGAAATGCACATTTTAAGACAATGCATACGTCAGCAGAGTTCCCCACGGTAGCTGATTTCCATTCAGTGGGCCATTTCTGTTGAGCTGTGCTTGCTGTTGGGATTCTCATGGAAGCAGCTGTTCTTGGATCAGCTAACCAGTTGTGGGCTCCATTCCTTTTCTCTGTGGCAGGCCCGGGTAACACCCATTTCCTGTTTGTCGTTTTCCAACCTGTGTATTTTCATAGCCCATAAACACAGAAAAAAAGCGCACATCTTTCATTTCCAACGCTTTTTCATTTGGACGTGTTTTGGAGCGGTTTGGAGTTATTCTTGCCGCGATTGTGTGGCTAAGCTCAGTGACACAGATCAGAGATTAAACACCATTTTTAGTTTAGAAGCTGAGCCACTCATTTTCAACCCACAAGCCCCAGAATGGCTTGGGAAAATAGAACGTTTTTGTTGGGTAGATTCAGTGCTTGTCGACGGTCATGGAGGATGTTCATCTGATACGGGGTGAAAGATGGGGCTCTCTTTATGCTGTTTGTTTTTCTCCTTTTTCTCTCTGGCCATTCAGTTGACCTATCCTTGCTCTGCCCACAAATGTGTCCTTTCATAGCAACCGTTGCCAGGTTGGACCATCTTTACAAAAGGTAAAAAAAACCCATTTAATCTTAAAAAAAATTGTATCAAACATTGTTTAGTCGTGATAAATAATGTTAAATTTCCAGGAAAGTGGTGCAGTACAAAGTTTGACTACGCTTTTGGAGGCAGGACTGGAGTGGTACTCGTTTTTCAGACTGGGAGTTACACAGACCCCATGAAGAGTATCTTCTCTGCAAATCCAGTCACTTTCTTTCATTGCTAAAAATTGCAAATAGCTAACTTTTAGCGAATAGCTATTTTTAAAATCTAGGCATTTCATCTTAATTCCCTACACTTCTACTCATTTTTTGGCTATACTGAGATAACCAAGCTTTCAAGCTAGTCGTAAAAAACAAACTGGAGAAAGCTTTTATGCTAAATATGACATTTTATCTCAGTCGTGTTAATATTGTAGCACCTGAGAGTCTGGAGCTGTGGCTAAGCAGATGGCCACACGTAAACAATATGCTAACTAATGCTAGCTTACTAAGTTCTTGTCAGCATTTCTCTCTGCTCAACTGCTCAAATATCTAATCTAACCGAGCCAGGTTTGAAACGACAGTGCTACCATGCTAACCACGTTAACATTAGCTTCCATTTTAACAATAACTGATTTATTTTAACCTTGTGACTTTTTACAAGCTAATAAGTATAATTTAAAATGAATATAGCCCGTTGGTATTGTGAGAAGAACAACTACAGTTTATGTTGAATGGAATTTTTCGACAACGTTCTGTAAAGATTGTCCAACGCTTGCTACAAAAAAATGGTGGCGCATGAATAGGTCAATTATTCAGTCTAGACTGGTTTTCCACGCTGGCTTGCCGGTCTAATTCTGAAATAACCCTTTTGCATTTTCAATCAAGAGCAATTCCCCAATGCCCTATTGTTAGCATTTGACATTAAAACGTCAGGTTATAAATAGAAGTAATCTGTTACCACAAAGCTTCAATAAAATGGTTATATGCAGCTCGAATAGATCTTGTCAAACCTCTAACTGAATTTCTAATGTAGTGTGAATGTCTCTTGACCTGAGAAGCATTGGGGTGAATATGACTAGATCAATTAATCTTGGTCTGGAAAACCAAATGCCCTATGGTTATATCTGACATGCAAAACAGCTAGGATAAACATTTAAGTCTAAATCTATTACCACAAAGCCTCGACAAGCAGAGAAATGGTTATATAGAATTTGAATAGATACTTAAGTGGTAAGACTCTGTTCATCCCACGGCTCTCTTTACCTCTCTCATTTCTCTCTCTATCCATTCAGAGTAGAGCAATGAGGCAGCAAATACAACCAACAGAGCTTATTCCATACACATCACTGACTGTGCTGAAGTATTAAAGCTTTATCAGGGTTTGAGGATGTGTGTGGTGTGTCGGTTCCTCTTTCTCTAGATATTTAGGTTCATTTTCTTGACTCCACCAGTAGAGCAGGCTTTCGCTTTCACTTGTAGAATATTAAGAGTGTGTATGTGTCAGCATAATAATTACTGGGCCACTCGATAAAGATAGGTTAAAAAGATCATGAGGAATTGTCTTTGTGGTTAATTAGCCTAATCTCACATTAAAACATATAGGGGCAATTCTAACCTTTAACTGAAGTAAATTTAGTTTAAGAAAAAAAAAAAACCTTATCAAAGAATATTTTGTTTAACAAAGCCATGTGTCAAAATGATTGGCGACACTGCCTAGTTTGTGCAACCTCTATTTGCGAGCTTAACAGCAATGAGTCTTATCTGTAATGCTTAACGATGCAGTCTGAAGCTCTCCAGATCCTCAAGGGTGGTAGATCCTCACGTCTGGACTGACATGTCCTTTTCAGTGATTGATTGTTTTTTTACATGGTTTTTGGACACGTTTTGGATCACTGTCCTGCTGGGAGATCCAACCACAACTGACATTTGAAATCTCATTAATGGAGATTAATCTTAATGGAGCCAATGGTTCCATATATCTTAACAAGATTCCCAGAGCCTTTGGAGGAAAAACAGCCTCAAAGTTCTGCCGATCCTCCACCACACTTGGGGATGATTCTATATAACTATCCCTCTGTTTATGCTTTAGTGTTTGTTACCAAAAAGCTCTATTTTTGTCTCCTCTCAACTCCAGTGGTCACTTGCATCAAAGATCTTCCGTAAATTTTGGCCTTACATTTTCCCTTAACCTTTAGTGAGTTGCAGGGAAATGTAGAAAGGGATTAAAAAAATATATAATTGTAAAATGAGTTTTATATACCATGTCAGCATCAGTGTTGATACTGGAACTTAAACACAGCATCTGTATTGGCAATAGCAATACTGATACCACAAAGCTACTATTTTGTGGGAAAGCTCTGGTAGTGGGTGATGTACTATTTGGAATTGTTCCTAAGATATTAGTTTAGCTTTTTTTCTGGCAGGCCTTCCAAATAGTTTGGAGATTTGATGACCCCAAAATGCTCCCATGCTCTGCAAATCTCTAGCCATGATCCTTGGAGAAATATTTGTCTCCTCACTGTACACAGGGGCAAAATAAACAGTCCTCTTCCAGGTAGGTTCACTACAGCTCCAGTTGTTTTAAACTTCTGAATTATTGCCCTGTCTGTGAGTATGGTCATTTTCAGATGTGTAGCTGTTGTCAATAGCCATTGTGTGATTTATGGTCAACACACTTCTGTCCCATTTCTTTTGTGTGTTCTGTAATGTTCCCCATGTTGATGAATGACTAGGGGAATTTGGCCTCTGGCATATTTATACCTCACTGAAACAGGAAGTCATAGATGACCACTTAGGAGTCACACTCAGGTGGACTTAAAAAAGTGAATATAAATGGAAACAACATACTCCAGATGCATTTTATTCATAACAGTGTGGTTATGTACACCTTAACTGTACATAGTCTTTCAATTTTTTCACAGTTTGCATGTAATTTACAGCTTTAAATGTATCATTTAGCATTTAACATGTTACTGGAAAACATTAATGCTAAATGTTTGGCTCTTTGCTATTTTCAAATTATTTTAATTGCTGTACTTTTACTTTTCTTTGTTCTTTAAATGTGTCACCTGTTATTGTTTAATTACCTCTTGTTTCTTTTATTTCACAAAGTAAAGCATATTGAGCTGCAGTTTAAATATATGTAACAATGTTAACAAAGTTTTGTTATATGTACATACATATGTGGCCAAAAGTCAGTGGACATCTGACCATCATGCCTGTATGAGCTTGTTGGACATCCTTTTCAAAAACTATGGGCATTAATATGGAGTTGTCCACACTTTGCAGCTGTAACAGCCTTCATTCTTCTGTGAAGGCTTTCTACAACAATTTAGTGTGTGTCTGTGGGAATTTGTGCCTGTTTACTCAAAAGATCATTTGTGAGGTCAGGCACTGATGTTGGACGAGAACGCCTGAATTGCAGTTGATATTTCTTCCAAAGGTCAATGGGGTTAAGGTCAGGGCTCTGTGCAGGCCACTGGAGTTCCTCCACACCAAACTCATCAAACCATGTGTTTATGGGCTGTGCTTTGTGCACAGGGGCTCAGTCTTGCTAGAACAAAAAAGGGCTATAGCCACAGACTGTTGCCACAAAGCACATAAGCATAAGGAAGCATATAATTGTCTAAAATGTCTTTGTATGCTTTAGCAATGACATTACCCTTCACTGGAACTAAGCTCATACCCTGAAAACCAGCCCGAGACCATTATCCCTCCTCTACCAAACTTTAATGTTGGCACTGTGCA